GTGTGTGTGTGTGTGTGTGTGTGTGTGTGTGTGTGTGTGTGTGTGTGTGTGTGTGTGTGTGTGTGTGTGTGAGAGAGAGAGAGAGCTGGGATTAATTACTGAGACCAAAAGTAACAACATATTGTAACTATAATGTAATTACCAAATTTAGTACTATAACGTCACATTACTGCATTACTGGTGAAATAAAATGTGATCGCAGTAATGTGTTGCTTTTGTTACGTGTTACGCTCAGTGCTGCTCGCCACCTTGTACTTACACTGTCAGCAGGTCTGTGACTCTTTACCTGCAGACTCTCATGTAACTATGTGGCCATTTCCTGAAATGTGAGCAAGCCTCTGCGCTGTATTTACTTGTGAATATGTGCAGATATGCAAACGTAAGACTAAACTTTGCAAGCCAAATGTTTGCCGCTCTGTGCAGCCTCCATCCTTCATGCACTTTATTCTGTTTGTCTTTTATTATGGTGTCTGCAGCTGGATGGAACTGTGGATCTGGACGAGAGGCGCTGCATCCGTTCAGCCATCCGGGAGCTGAGGAGGAGGGAGATTGAGGACATGGAGGCAGCTCTGGCTAGCAAGAGATTTCGACCCACACGCCTCAATCAGCAGGAGGACAAGGAGAACCAGCACAGGTGAAGCTGCACACACAGACACACAGATGTCTGTGCTGATGACAGTTTACTAGGCCAGGTGAACTGGAAATGCTGAAAAAACAATCTTCAACTCCACTGGGAAAGCTCTGGAAAAGTCAAGTTAGCAAATCACAGGAGAGAGAAAACTGCAACAGTAAAGTTTCCCATCCCTAAAATTTCCACCTAGTGTGGCTGTTTTACCATAAATACTTTCACTTTCAAATATCCCACACCGTCATGTGTCACATTAACGTAGATCAGCTATCGCAGTCTGTTTGATTATTTACCTTTCAGAGACTTTCCAGCACCTGTCGTCCAGCTAAGCAGCGTGGACTAATGGGTTACTTATTTGAATCACTTTATGTTGCCATAAACATAGCACAGATTCTGGTAAACCCGAGTAAAATTAAAATATTATCTCTTGAAATCTCTCCAGTAATGACCGACTAGAGAATTAAAAATGAAAAGCAAACAAATTTACAGCAAAATTGAAACAAGTTTCTTTCAGATGACAAAAGGGGGAAAAAAGGTCGAATCATTTGCTAAATAAAGACAATAAGGAACAAGAATCAAGCAGGAACTCAAAGTGTGGATGATTTGAGAAAAATCCCAAGTTCCACGTGATCTGCGACATATTTTATAGGTTTTCATTAAAGTTCAAGGCTGCACCACAATCCCATCATCTGTTCTGGAGTAAAGGGAAGAAGTGACATTATTGGATAAGAAGCAGACGCACAGAATCAGCCGCCACTCTCCTCCTCCATCGCCGAATCCTAATATAAGAGTGGTGACGGGGCCCTGATTGTTTCCATTCAGTGCTGCTCTCGAATGACTTGCATTACAATAACACAGGAGGTGCCTCAGTGAAGCTGCTAAAGAAAGCATGCTTTTGCACATGCATGCACGTATTCATATGCCAGGACACAGAAACCCATCTGAAAGTGGGATAGAAATGGGGTAGGAGGAAAGGCCATTGTCCCGTGCCTCACAGTGGTGGAATGTGAAGTATTCCACTCCGGCATTGCTGCGCATCTTTTTAATGCCAAAGAGCGGAGAGAAGCGAGGATAATGAGTATGTGAGTAATAGAAACCACCATAAAAGCAAGGAGTGAAATGGAGAATATGAGGCTGAAAAAGGGAAAATAAATGCAGCTTTTTTTTTTAGGGGTGGGGGGGAATGTCATTGGCTGTCAAATCTGTCATGTCGTAATATCACTTCTTCCATGCTCGATTTGGGAGTGTTCCCTCTGGGTTTTCTCTCTGCCAAGAAAACCGTCCTTTATCTTTCAAATTACCTTCAGCTGCCTGTAATATATGGGCAGAAGCTTCAGATTAGAGTCAGAGGAGCCAAAGTTTTACAGTCTGATATTTTAAACTATTAGGCTTTCTAGTTTGTTTCATGGTGAGTGGGGACTAGTTGAAGATCCATTAAAATGTCTTTGCGTTTCTTTCTCAGGTCAGAATCCAACGAGAACTTGGATGGGCTGAAACAGAAACTGCAATCAATCCGGGACATCGACGAGCTTCAGCAAATGGTGAATATCGTATCGTAATATCAGTAATGCTAACGTCTCACATCACTTTGTAGTTTCACTGAGCTTTTGCGTGTGTTTGCTCATAGCTCAACGCAGCCAGCGAGTTCAAGGAGAGGAGAATGATCCGAGCGGCCATTCGGCAAGTTCAAGAGGAGCAGCAGCAGGGTGAGTGGGATCCAGTAACACTTGTCTGACGGAGCGGAATCAGAAACATCTTGTCTTATAATGACAAATCAAATGAGGGTGTTGCAGTCTTCATGCCATGGTGGCATCTCAAACAGTTTAACCAAGCTATAATTTGCACCAGTGTAATTAGAGAGAAATGCACCAGAGGGAAATATGTCAGAATTTCAAGTCTTCAGATGTTTGCGGTTTGTTGCAAAAGATGTAAATTGGTTTGATGAGGATGCAGAGAGGAAGAAATTCCAGAGATGGACTAATTATTGCTCATTTACAGATGAAAATTATTACATTGTTATGAAATAATCCCTGGTTCTCTCATACTGGGCCTTGGTGCAACAATAGACAGGGAGAACATGCAAACACATGCACATAGAAAGACCTCGGCCAGATGGTGGATTTGAACCCAGGACCTTCTTGCTGTGAGGCAACGGCACTAACTAGGCTGAAAAACTGCCTAAAAATCAAGCCGTTTGCATAGTCTCGTGCATGCACTTTTGGCTTAGAGTTATCTTGCACATTCACTGATTCCATGTGCTACAGCATCCATCATTGTAGCACTTGGACATCAATACTTCAAGAGCCATCCAGGCACCATGTGCACATCCAGAAGAGGGTGCTAGAATTAAAGGTAAAGAAATGAACTTAGCTGTTCATTGTGGAACGTGAAAGTAAAAGTAAGTTGGCCTTATCATTGTCTTGGCCATAAAGTATGTGCACGTGTGAGCGCTCAGTGCCATAGTTACTAGGGCAGATCCACCTACGATGCTGGGCCAGATAGGGGATTCCTGTCATGCCTAAGTGCTGTCTGGCCCGTGTGAACATTGAACTGCACGTAGGAGGCTGTATGTGCAGGGTGATACACGCACACAAAAAGCAACCCATTTTCAATTTAACTTGTGTCCCCCTGTGTTTCCTCTTCTTTTAAAATCACACATGACCAGAATGTTAACATGAGATGAGATTATAAGAAGGTATCTACTTTGCTCTAAATATTCCTGTACTGTATTTCTATTGTGTGCCCATGTTTGTTAGTGGTCGTGGAGAGGGGGAAGACTTCTGGCTTGGAGCCTGAGGGTGTGCAGTCCCAGAGCAGCATGGGAACTGGGGTGAGTACTGCAGAGTTACTGGAGTGGGAAGAAGAACGATTAAATGTCACAGCGCTGTGCTGGTGCAGTCCTGACATCTCACTTATATCTGACGGGTAAACCGTCTGGTGTCAGCTTCCATTTACAAAAATCATCTACACATAGGGCCGTTTACGGGTGTCACGTTCTGTTGCATGGCAGCAGTGACCACCGAGGTTTCTCTGCTGCCGCAGTGAAGAATGCACAAAACAACAAACAATGAGACTTGAGTCACTTACCGGAGCGGGAATATAGCTGCACACAAAACAAAAAAACACATGCCTGAGCCGCCACAGAGGGAGGAATGTGTTTGTCACATATTCCTATTCAGGTTCGACCAAACCGAGGAAAATGATAAAATGTGCTTTGACTTGGGTGTGAGGGCGGAAAATTGTTTTTGACAGGGAGAGTCTCCCAGGTGCTGTCATTTCACACAGATGTAACTGAAAAGCCTGTCTCATTTTTGAAGAAAAAAAAAGTTTTAAAGTATGGATTTCTTAAGATTTCTGTTACATCTGTCGGACAACTACTTTTAGCTGGAGTATTCGGCCTTTTTCTCAGAGGTCCCTCACAGCTGGTGTGCCCTCTTGTGGCTGAGCAGCAGAGCCTTACAGGAGGAGACGTTAGGTTATCCGCTGTCAGTGATCAGTTTCTTGATAAAAGCTCTGTTTCCAGTGGATAGGATTGCTATAGGGAAAATTCATTTTGTATGCAGCCACTGCTCTTAAGACTAAGTCCCTGAGTGATGAGACCACCTCCCATATCTGTGTTTTTAAAGAGGGGAAAAATACAATCACTCACCTTATCAGAGTTCTGGTGTTTCATTTAAAAGCACTTGTTTTTCCCACCACAGAGATGCAAAGGGGGAGAAATGAAAGGCTTTTAGTATCAGTCCCATTGTCTGCTGGAGCCTGTGCTTTGCTTGCATTCCTGTGTGTGTGTGTGTTCTCCTCAGCTAGGAAGTGATGATGGCATGTTGGCGTAACAGGATGCCCTATCACTCAAGCCTATTTTACCTCACTTCCTTCAAGACAGCTGAACAGTACGTTGGTGAAATTGTGAGGATGAACGAGGAGGGGGAGTGGGAAAATGCGGAGGTCGGGGGTTGAATTCGGAAGGATGGACAGACAGACGGCCCACCAGCTGTGCCCCGGCAGTCTTAAAAGTCTGTACTGAAATGGGAATGTGGGCCAAAAAAAACATCAGCCAGCAACAGCAGCAGCAGCAGGGCTCCTTCCAGTCACATCACAGCGTCGGATCTCTTTGAGCCTCTTACAATTGTTCCGTTGAAGATGGTCTTAGATAGGCCTGAAAAGCAGCACGCAGGCACAAGCGGCATGCAGTATGTGTATGTGAGCCCGGACTCAAGAAGTTGCCTGTATACAAAATGATGAACGAAGGTGTTTAATTAGTAGGTTAATACGGCTGTTTGTCTGTATTTATGCTAGATTCCGATCGCATTTAGAATTTAATGTTTCTAATGCTCACATGCGCGGGTAGCTGAGGTACACTTAAAGTTTCCTTTTGCCCATTTTCTAGTAACCACGTGGAAACTTTAATTATATGTATGTAGCAGAAAAAAATGTCAGCACACAGAAAGGGTCCTTTTGATTATTGCAACACATAAAGGCACAAAATATTTAAATTGTGTTTTTTGTTTTTTTGAAGAGCACAACTCCCCAAAAAAGAAGTCAAAACAAGAGCAGAGTGTGTCAGAAGTTAATGTGTCAACCAGGCAACCCATTAACCTGTAAAAGTGTCCGTGAGTCTGAGTGTGGTGGGGGTCAGATCCCTCTGGAGACAGAATGGGAGGGAGGGGAAGTCAAGGGAGTGGCTTCTTGGTATTATATGTGTATGTGTGTGGTGTTTGTGGTGGTGTAAATGTTTGTGCGTGGGTGTGTATGATGTGGCTGCGGGAGCAGAGCGTCAGAATAGCGGACGTCCTGACTCCAAGAGGGTTGCTGCTGATAGAGAGGGAGAGAGAGAGGCAGTCAGTCGCGTGAAGAGAAGGTAAATGTCACTCTGATTTTATCGCAGGCTAAACACGCCTCTCATTTTCTTAACCTTTGTTTTTTTTTTGGTTTTTTTCCTTGTCCTGAAAAGGCATGTAAATATCTTTCCTCGTCAGTCTGTGCTCATTTCTTTCTGAGCAGAGAATGGGATGTGCCTGCCTCTGTGTTTACATTTCAGGTATGTGTACTTAATGGTTTATTGCTCACTTAGATCGCTCGGTGCGCATTTTAGCCAACAGGTAGACTAACTACAGCTGAAACTTTTCACGTTTTGCATGAAGATCCATTCAAATAGTCAAAGTGTTGTTTAACAAGTTTAACAGAAACTGTAATATTTAATGCTGGATTTTAAAATGGATTTATGAAACTAAACTTTGAAAGTTTGCAGGTTCGCTTACTATCTAGGCGTGTTCAGTTCAGACAGGCTGCTTGTTGGTTTGTTGTTTAATCATAAAATTGCTACAATAAGGAACCTTAGTTGTCAAAAACAAGCCCCAGTATGTGCAATAGAGAGGGTTTAGCAGACTTCTTAGAGGTGAATTGTGAAAGCGTCCTGTAGGAGGAAAAGTCTAAAAAAGACCAGAAGGAAAGCTTAGACTGGCATGTGCTGATCTGCAGTAAGTAAAAATGGGAATGAGACTCTGGTCTGACGACTTCTGCGGGTTTCCTCACTCCAGACTGAGTGTATATGTGATGCAGAGATGATTCCTGCTTCATTCCAGATATTGTATTTCATTTGTTGGAGGTTAGCCGAGCGTGTGGTTCCTCAGGCTGCTGTAATGGAAAGTGAGCCGCCAGGTTCCTTCTTCTTTTCTTCTTCTTCTTCCACGTAGCGGCATGGAAGACCCTCAAATGGGTCTGACCTCACCAGTGGAGTGATGGATTTAACTTCCACGGAAAACTGGAAGTTAAACCCCGTCATTTAATCCAACTATGGATTAAAACCCAGCGTGTTAATCCACAGTTGAGCTCACTTGTGTGAGCTGGTTGGTAAAAGAGGTGCTTGTGTCTCATTCTGAGCTCTCATTGTTGTTTTTTGTGGAGTTGAGGGTTCAGAGGAGTCCAGATGGCCCACGCCTCGCTGCGGTCACGGGAGAGGACAGTTGTTTTTGTGTTTACGAGGTTGAGATTTTGCAATTATAGTCTGACACAAACAGGCGCTTGAGGCCGTATGGGACAATTGGCTGGAGCGACAGGGTGTCGGTGTTGGTTCCCCTCTGTCAGGTCCCAGCCATCAGGGCCAGAGCGAAGCCGCTAATGATAGCATGGCGGCTGGCAGCAGGTCCTGTACTCTGGTCTCGATCTCTATTTCCACTTTATCTTCCCCTTTTTTTTCACTCAGCCTCGCTGTCTGTGAGAAATATGTTCCCTGTGGTTTAGTGGGAGTTTTAAATGACGGCTGTCTGTCTGAGGCCCGGTAGGAGCAGCGGAGGGTGAGGGGGGTGAGCACGTGAGGGAAGGCTTGTTCTCTTTAATTGTGCTTGTTGCTCGAACACAATTATCTCCCCCTGCGACTCTTTGATTGGGTGACTGCGCTCAGGATGCGAGCATCCTCTCGCCTCAGTGCACCGTAGTGCCTTCATTACAGGAGACAGTTTGTGCCCTGCAAAACCATCAGACGCTTTAATGACTCATTATAGGAGCATTCTGCTATGTTTCTGTGGCTTGCCGCAGTGTATAGGTGACATTTATTGTTGTCTAGAAAAGCTCAGAAAACCTTTTTCTCGAGCCCCTGAGTCTGTGCTCTGCTTTTAGCTCCATATGGAAACCTGGAAAAAGTGACATCAGGGCACCTGCTACGTAGATTTATACTGTTATAATATCACATTTAGGAGTTCAACTCCCCTTTTGGCTTATTTTAGCAACAAAATGTAATCATGTGTCCCAACCCGAGCTGTGCATTTTCCACATTCACCTTTTGCCTGCGTCTCATCACATTTTCTCCTCTGCTTTCAAGCCACTATCTCCTGTGATCTGCTCAAGGAGGGGAAGGTCACAGTCAAGAGAGCATAAAGCTGTCGGGTTTCTTTCTTGCCTCTTGCTTGTGTTTGACTTGGAGCAGGCTTTGTGGTTGGTCCTCTGTCTGCACGGATCACACATTGCACTGATTAAATTCCATTTAAAACACCAAAGGTGTGATTTGTAGGATTTTCACTCTGCTTCTGCTGTTAACAACCAGGCCAGCCTTTTGTCTTGAATAACATAATTTACACATGGGGAACTGTTTGCGGTGCGATTGTGCGGTTGGGTGTGTGCACTTTCTTTCCATGCCTGAGAGATAGTGAATGTGTTTAAGGAGCATTTGGCAGTAATAGTAGGCTGTAAATCTGGTTTAAGTATTATATTTTCATGTATTGTATGTTTTTTCAGGATCCACCCCAGCATTTGTTGTGCTATTCTTAACCCAGATGCCTCTCTTAAAGTGATTTTTGCGCTGTGATGTCATTCATCATTTCAAATGAGCTGCTGAGTGACGAGCAACACCTGAAGCTCCACACAAGACAATTTTGCCCTTTAGTAGAAAAGTTTAAGTCTCCAGAAGTTTGAGTTAAGAGTATGTTTGTTGGTGATTTGAAGACTGTGTGTGTGTGTGTG